CTCCCTCACCCTGCTAGCCACTGGAATGTTACCCTCAAAGTGAATGGTAAAGAATTCACTTTTTATAGTGTCACGGATGGATGAGACACGTTGCTGTTTCTCACCCTGCTGGGCAAAGGGAGCAGTCTGACGGCCAACGACCTCCCTTTTGGAGCCTAAACGAACCCCTATTGCAGTTACTTGGCTGCTCGGCTCCCTCTGAGCAGTAATATCCAGAAGGGCAAGGAATGCCTCCGTACGCCTTGTCCAGCATCGTTTCCCAGTTTGTCTCCGTTAACACGACACCACCGCCGGACTCTTGGACTTTAGTTGGGATGTAGGGGCTCCGGGGAAACTTTGAGTAGTCGGGGTTAGGTACAGAGTTTCCCAGGCCGCATAAAAAGCTGAAATGCCCTCGACAGAGAAGCCCGCAAGGGAACACGGAAGCCTGGACATACCTACCTCTCCCACCCGTGCAACGCACTCACAGCAAGAAGCAAAAAGTGGGGTGGGGCGCCTCCGACTTACCCAGCAGCGCACGGGCCCGCAATGACTCCAGCACGGCAATATTTGCCTCTTGGGCANCGACTCCGACTTACCCAGCAGCGCACGGGCCCGCAATGACTCCAGCACGGCAATATTTGCCTCTTGGGCAAGGGGCGCAAGCAGCTTCCAGCTCAGAAGTATCGCTGAGCACCCTGTAGGCACCGTACGGGCAGTGACTTCCCTTCATTGTTCCTTCGAGACAAACCTAGGCGGCACACACAATACTTGCTAGACGCAATGATGTTCAGCCTTTCATGCATGCGCTTCTGAGTTAGCGAAGACTAGCTTAGTTGAGTCACATAATCTTGGGTGGTTTCGCCTGGAGCTAAAATTTTTGAACAGTTAACCATGCGTATACACATTCAACGGATATGGAATATGAGTTTCTACAACAACGGCTGCGGAATCAGGGCCTTCACCGAGTTCCCCAGTTTAGCAACGCCGCCAATAGTGAACCGGGTTTCGTTGTTGACCTCACCAGCCCATCAGGACATGTAGTTGGCGTGGAGCTCAACAACTGGCATTCAAATCCCGCAGGACAGGGTTTGCATTTTGCCTGCCCAGGCTCCGAGGTGTATTGGCCAGGAGAGCATGCCCGTGGCATAATGCTGCCGGAAGGGCAGTGCCACCCAGCAGGACACCGTCCGCCAGTCAGGCCGTCCGTAGGGCGAGTTGTATCGGAACCTTTTAAGCAGTAATATCCAGCGTCGCAGGGAGTCTGCGGAGTTGTTAGGCCTTCTTTTGTGCATGCATATCCTGGACTACAGGCTTTGCAGTCCAGTGCACCAACTCCATCCTAAGCCAAGGCAATGACCAGAGCATGCTAAGAGCTTCATGGCGGAGCTTTATGAGATTTTTCGCACCGAAAAGGAGAGATGCGGGGGGAGTATAGAAGGGAAACTCGCACCTGGAAGGTCCCACGAGCACAAGGTGTCGGCGTAGAGGACCCAGATGGGCAGTAGTGACCAATGGGACACAACCCGTATTCGTCGCTGTCCTCGCCAAATACATGTAGTGGCAGTAGATCCGTGCGAGCTCCACTGGCACAGACGAAGCCACTAGGACATAGTGCAGAAGGACGAGCGAGCCCGGCATCGTCGCAAACGAACCCACCTGAGGAAGGTCACATGCAGGCGTCCCTAACTATACTAATATACTATATATACTACACCAAGCACAGCTGAGAGTCACCCGTGTAACGATAGGTCCAGCTTCGAACATCCTTTAGACTCCTATGTCGCTGTTTTTCTTACCAGAGCAAGGCTCGCACGAGGCGCTGCCTTGGCTAGCGGCGAATGTGCCTGGCGGACAGGGTACAGGGAATATTGTGCCTTCGGCACACGCGTGACCTGCTGGGCAGAGATCTTCTGGACTCGTTAGCGCAGACGTGGAGCAACTCCAACCGATAGTACATGGAGTGCACTCTCCTCTCCCGCCCTCACTGAATGTGCCTGGAGGGCAGCGCTGAATCGAGCCTCAGAGACACAGGCGGTGCGGATAAAGTTAGGTGCTGGGGAGTGGGGGTGAGAAACATATCTCACCATGGAAATTTCAAAGGGCGTTTCTTAGACTCATGAGGGTTTCGCACCTGCGCAACATAAGATCCTGCCGGACAATAGTGACCGGCTGGGCATGCGTTTCCTTGGACACCATCCGTTGGTGTAGGGGTTGTACTGCCGCCCGCACAGTAGTACCCCTCAGCGCAGAGACCAGTCCCCATCGTGCTTGAGCAGTACTGTCCAGGCTGGCATTTCAGGCAGTCCTTTTCCTCTTTGCCTCCGGCAACCGAGGAGCTCGTCCCTCTGCGGACCATGGGAAGACTCCAATGGCTTTGCACTTTGCACCCCGACTGCCAGCTGGCCGAGGAAAACGAATGTTTCCCTTGATTTTTAAGCTGAACACTAAGCGCATGCAAAGCTACTAGAATGTGTATGCTTACTCTCGACAGGGTTCTGGAGACTCTGTTCCTGCTTGGCAGTAGTAGCCAATCGGGCAAAGGCTTCCGGCTGATCCGGAAATTCCGTCTGGATTTTTCTCATCAGGGTGAGGAGCAGGCGACCACGCCCCACCTTTGCAGTAATAGCCCTGTAGGGTTGCAGGATAATACATAGAACAATGTGCTTCTGAGAGCGGGGCACTTCGCAGGGGAGATTCACTGTCTCCTTATTTTCAAAAGTACTACGAACAGAGGAAAACTCACAGCTAAGCAGGGTCCTGTTGGTTCCCGCAGGCCGCGAGAGCCACAGTATTTTCCTACGGGACAAGGCAGGCATTCTGACGCTCCCTTGGCACCTCCTAGTTTATTGTAAGTTCCCAGGGGGCATGGGTATTCGTGCCCATTGTACGACCCCTTGGGGCAGTAGTAACCCGCGGGACACTTCGTTGACGGCGTAACTGTGCTGTCCTTGCAAAAGTATCCCTCAGGGCATATCTTGCATGCCGTTTGAGCCTTCAAATCCTGATACCAGCCCTTAGGGCAAGGGGTAGGAGCGGCGGGGCCTACCGCAATGCATCGCCAACAGGATGGACGCGTAAAATAAACCCCAAATTATCGCAAAAGATGGCATTTATTCTTTAACAGCACCAACAGAGCGAAGTAGCCCATCTAACATTTGTTCAAAGAGACTGCTCACCAGGCGAACTAGTTCCAGAAACCTGAATTTCCGACAGATAAACTTGGGAATCCGATGTTGTGAGCATGATCTTTCTAGTAGCCACCTCTCCAAAATTGAGAGAGTACGTAGATTCCTTGTTTGATGTCACGGAGAAAAGCTCGACGTAGGTTGATGAAGCCGAGTGGAAGTAATGCACTGAGAATGAAGAGAGAATCTGCGGAAGAAAGCAGGAGGCGCGAGCAAGCATAACTTACGAGGCCTTTGGCTTTACACTGAGGTGATGCAAAACGAGCGGCACAACCAGCAGTTCGTTCAGCTGGCGGCGGGATAGGGGGGGAGTGAAAATGTCAGAAGCTAGTTTGTACGAGCCCTAGAAGCGGGACGATGCCGCGCACATTCTTCCCTCCTGTTCTCCCGGAAATAACTGTGACTTCGTTGATGAAGAATATGTCGCCAAAATCAATTGTCAAGCCGTGGCCACCGCTGGAAGTATTTTTCGAGACCCAACCTGTGCCTAGGCCAGTGTCACCATTTGTAACTTTGTCAGGGGTACCGCTTCCAACGTAGTCTCCAGAAATAGTGAGTTCCACTTCTCCCTTAAGGGCAACATTGGTAAACACGCCTGCAAATGCATATCAATATATACATTGCTTTCCTGCCCCTCCCTCACTCCCAGCGAAGTTCGCCGTCTCAGCATTTTCGGGGAAGCCCTCAACAAAGGAGAATCCGCTTCTGCTCGTGCTGATGCTGATGCTGATGCTGCCTC